CAGCTTCTTGTGTTCTTCTCATCAGTGACCAATGGTGTTAAAGGCTGCAAAGTAATTCCAACTTTTAAACTCAAAAGTTTGCTGGGAAAAAGGGTTTGGGTCATTTCATGCTATATTTAACCTGGTTCAACATGCTGCAGCAAAAAGAAGCCATCTCATCTCCTGTACCCCCATACTCCTAATTCTCACCTTGCACCAGACCTAGGGATCATACAACCATATAGGAAGTCAGATTAGCTTGCTGCTCTGAGAGGAGGGGAGGGAGGGGGAAAAAAAAAAAAAAAAAAAAAAAAAGAGGTAAGAAGAAAACCAGTTGTTATTCTTGCATTTGATAACTAGGTAACTCAGCTCACCGAGTAGTCGTGAAATCATTAGACTACAAGGGAAGCAATAGGAACGCTTAATGTTTGAGGGGACAGAAGGACCATTTGTTTCAGCAATGGTCTGCATTTATGTTAGGAAGCATTTTATCATGTTGTCTACTTAACACTGCAGTTGAAGAATTAAGACCTGAGTTTGCATTGTCATTCACAAAAAGTGTTCCTATTCTGCTCCTCGTACTCACAGTCTCCTCACACTGCTCCTTCCTTTGTGTTAGCAGCAATGTTCATGTGGCTGTAAAGTGAATCAGATGGGGCAATTACTCTGAAGTAATACCAACCAGAACCACTTTTTTTTTTTTGCTTTACCCAGAGCAATTTCTAAATTTGGTTTGTTACAGAGCCATTAAAAAAAAGTTTGAGCCAAGTGGGGATCTAGTGTGACAACTGAGCAGATACCTGTCTGTATCTACTGAGAATACATATCATGCAGAGCAGTATATCACTGAATAAGACTTGTCAGGAACCAACAAAAAGCACTGAGAATGGTCAGGAATGAATACAGCCCTATGTTTAAGGATTTCAATTATTTATTTATTTACAGAAGACACTGTACTACTTCCTTTAGATTATGTTTTATCTTTTGCATTATGATTTTTCAGTAATTTGTTTAGAAAGATACTCTGATAATCTTCAGTGAATGCCAAATTAGAATGATATCCTGACAACTGAACATTGCACGAACCAAAGATGTGTTGATACGTCTCTCATATCTAGTACTAACAAGTAGGGAAAACCCGAAACGCACACTGAAAACCAGAGCATTTCAAAATGGTACCAAAACTATTTCAAAGTTAGTATTTATGATTTGTATACAATTGTAATGATCTTAGAAACTCAATGTTTTAATCATCTGTTGAATACTCTGAAAACACAGATTAACACTCCCAAATGAAAAGCCAGTATCATATTAATACGTCAAAGGCAGCATGAACGAGGTCTAAGAAAAAAGTAGAGATGAGAAAAAGTGAAAGTCATCTATCTAGAAAACAGAGATGTCACTGGAATAGACCATGCAAAGCTTAGCCAGCAGTGAAGAACTGAAACTTTGAGGTTGCTTACTTGAGATCTGAACTAAAAGCTATCCTCTTCCCCCTATTTACCTGTCTCCCGCTTATCTGACCTGCTTTAATGGACAAAAACAGCAGAGACCTAACCCAACCAAACACCTGTGAGTTACAGTCACCAGAGCTAAGATAAAAGTGCACACACAGGAAACAAAACAAGAGAAACATGCTCTATCATCAAAAGAAGATATTCCTATACCCATCTCCCTACTGCTAGCACTTAGTTTTGGTACCCAGATGCTTGCACCACAGGCCACCTCAACAAACCAGAATGTCAGAAAATTGACAGGTGGAAACAGGTGGGGGTTTTCAGTGAACTTAATTAGCTTGTGATTAGAAGATGAGGGGAAATGCCTGCACGACGAAGAAATGGCATAACTGAGAACAGGGGTGACAGAGGGAAAGATGGGCCCCCCCCATTTTGGAAGCCTAGAGCTGTGAATTTAGCAAGGCCTTATGATGAAACCTTCACCTAAAGCCACTGATCAACACAGACCACATTTCAAAAGCAAAAACAAGACATCTGTTTATAATCCAGACATGATCTTTTAGTTTCTATGTGGCTGTAGGTGAAACCTCTTGTATCTCATTAGGATTTTTGAACAATGGTTCTCACTAGATCTCAGAACATTCCTGGGTCAAATAAGCATGCTTTACAGTGTTTTAAAAGTCTGAAGTGTCCTGAAATGACAGAACACCCACTTGCAGCAGATACCTGTCCTTTTACATCCTCTCTCCAGAGCCCACCAACATCAAGAGCCTTAGAAATAACAAGGTCTGGAATCCCCCGAACCTCAAATGCTTAAAGTCATAAGCATTACACAATCCCATCTTAAAATGCAAGTCTTAAATGTTACAGGACAAGAAGAGAGACTAAATATATGTAAACTAACCTTACTGCAAATTCAATCCACTCTTAGCAGTCCGTCTGCTCCATGTTTTAAATGTCCAATTTCTGTTCATTTTAAATAGCAGGTAAAGAAAAAAGTTAAGGACATTTGAAGAAAATGGATAATTTAAAAGGTCTTTCCAAAAGCAAAAAGAAATCCAGAGGAAGAATTCAAGTAGCCCAGAATGGCAGAGGGTTCTCCTTCCCTCTGAGATTAATCTAAAATTTTCCCTGCAATGTCAAAAATCTGCTAAATACCTTTAAAATGCACAACTTATGCACCTCATCTCTCTGATACCAAGCAATACCTTCTTTCATCCCAGAAATTCACCCTTTTATTACTTAAGCAAACTGCGGAATGGAGAAGCATCCCATATGAGTTTTCAATTCATAACAAAGACATGTATCCTTCATACCTGTCTCTCATAACAGACAAGACATCTACAGAAAAGACACTTCTACACTGTCAGACACTTTCAGTAAATAATATCCAACTACCTGCCCTTTCCAAGTCTTTCTAAACATATTTAACTGAGCCTGAATGGAAAGATCCCCTCAGCTTACTGTTTTGACCTGCCATTGCAGTCTAGGGACTTTCTAGTCAAAATTGCATTAAACTTATAAATTGGAGGCACTGATTTTGGAGACAAATGTGTTCTTCTTAAAGGCAGGAATTTAACTGTGATATTTCAGGACAGTGTTGAGTTAAAACTGATTCTAAAGCTCGCAGAGATAACATCAACTCCCATCTCCAGGGAGATCCTGTGTCTTTTTGTTGGTGGTAGTATGTCAGAGAAAAATCTTGATTTACTCAGACACACACTATACAACAGTATCAGGTCTCTTCATGAGTACACTATTTTCCCACACCACACACACAGAAAAAAAGTTCTAGATAAAAAGATCTAACCCAAAATTTCTTACTTTTGACAGACATTAACATAAAACCATACACAAAAAGCTAGAGAAGGAAGACTTCAGTATTTCCCCTGTAAGCTTGCTCACTGGCCTTGTTGCCTCTTCCCAGCTTTAGAGGGATAAAACTACCACTGCAGTAGCTGCACATGTGCTCCATGCCCATATGGTAATGAAAATACAAGTATAACACCACAGTATTATTTCTCACCTGTTCTGGATGCAGAAGCTTCCACCTAGTGCCAAAAAGATGTTAACTAATTAAGACACTTGCTTAGCATGTTCCCTAATGAAGACACTCCACACAATCTGTAATTATCTTCTTAAAAGAAAATGCTCCTCAGAATTGCACAGGTAATTACTGGTCCTTACAACTAGACCAGTCAAATAAAGAAATCATGCAGTGGTAGTATGGTACTCACAGACAGCACACTAAAGCAAGCTGAAGAGACATCCCCCACTGTCAGTTTGTTTCGACCTTTGAAGGCAATACATTTAAGAGATTAGTTATTTTACCACTAATCTCTAGATTGTAAATGTAGTCCTGCGTTTACCAATCCCAACAAACTGATAAATATCTTTGTATGCGTTTACTCTGTACTACAAGATCTAAAGCTCTCTTTGTCTTATATTTTCCAAAATAAGCATCTGTCCCATTTACAAAGAAACCAAAAGGACTAAGGGGCTACTGATGTCATCACAAATCAATGGCAAAGATGGGAAAGAGAAACTTTTTTACCAGCAACAGGTATGAGAAATCTCCTTAGCTCATTTATCCCACACCTCGATAGATTGCTCTAAGAATCTCCTTTCAATATTTGCAGATTACATATTTCTTCAAGTTCTTCCACTTTACAGCAACACAATCATGGAAATCACTACCAAAGGCCACTCTTGATCCGTGCTCAATAACAGAAGTTTAATTTATATTCATCCCTAGACTATGCCTCTAACAATTTAAAGATTAAAAATTCTTAGAGCACAAAGTTTAACTGTATACTATGCACCTTGGAAGACACAAGCAAGGAAGGGGAAGAAATAAGCACCTCTTCAGGAATCCCTGTGTTTGGACAAAACTCTCCCATAAGGTTGTGGTTCTAAGACAATTTAAGCCATTCTGTTGCTGCAACAGTTTTACTCTCCAGAACCACAAAATCCTACAGTGGCACATAGAACCACCCACCCCTTATCACTAGGTACTAGTGCTCATCAAACCCACTGGTGAGCAAGTAAGCTTCCTACACAAGCAAGAAACCATTCTGTTCTTTTGTGGAATTCGATTTTAGCAGGCATCACAAGCTGAACCAACTCACTGTAGGATCTGATCAATCCAGGTGTCAACTACAACAGAGGAGGCTGGATCATAGCAATGACAGCAATGGTCTGAATTGTCTAAAGTGAGATTTTTTTTTTTTTGCTTCTTACATTTACAACTCTGGTCACTATGCTAGCCCAGCTTCCAACCGTGTAAAAACCAACCTGTTAGACTGATTTAACTTTCTCCAGCTCTTGCTCCCCTGTCCTATGCAGGTAATACATTCTCCAGTGGCTCCCACTCCGCCAGGTAAGAAAAATTTGCAGCAAAATTGCTATAATGGCTCAGCCACCAGCCTTGTTTGAGCGTGACAAACAATTGCAAGCATTAAGACATGCAGTTTACACATACAGCATCCCTTCTGCCTGCAGCCACAGCCCTTATTCACCTCAAAGCATCCACAAAGGGCATGCACTTTCAGGATCCTGCCTCACCTTTAGTCCCAAGCATGTAAGGAGGAGTGTAAAGAACCATTTCAGTCTTAGGCCAGAATGATCCTGGGAAGATTGACAGAAAAACAAAAGAAAGCAGGATATGAACATGCAACAACTTCCACTCATTATTAAGTATCTTCTCTCTACCTTTCTACCTACACTTACACCACAACTCCACCTTGTGATCTCTCCTTGTTGGCAGCTAGATAGTTCACGTGCCTGGAGTACTGCAGTGAATAAATAAAGACTCTTTCAGAAGGACAGACTGTGAAAGAGAGGAGAAAGCTTTGTGCTCCACACAAAGGAGTGTATCACATAACTGCAGCTTTGCTTTGGAGTGCACAGAGCTAGTCACAGAAACTAGCAACAAATACAACTTGCAAACAAAATTGTGACCATATATTTGGATTTTTTTTCCCCCTCCATGAGGGTGGTCAAACTTTGTGACAGATTGCCCTGAGATGTTGTGGAGGCTTCTTCCTTGGAGATACTCAAAACCCAACTGGACATATCCCAAGCAATCTCATCTAACTACAGAGCTGGCTCTTGCTTTCAAGTTGGCCACTTTGAACAGAAGGCGACTTTTAAAGGTCCCTTCCAATCTCAATTATTCTATGATTTTCTGTAGCATTCTCCTGCAGTATGCCTCTTATATGGCTACAACAGAAGGATGCATGCTCCATAATGCACTTTTTCACAGCTTAAACTATATTTGTGGATTCACTGGGAAATGTCCTTTCTTGATTTTGCACAATCAAGATCATCTGACAAGTTTTTAGAGTCATTAAAAAAATAAAAATAAAGTTCTTTGTGCTGAAAGTGGAAAGTACCTCTATAGGTTTGACAGCTGGGGGTAGAACCACAGTCTCACTCCCTGACCACAATGAAACTTGGAAAGAGATTTAAGAAGAAATTCAGTATATGGTAAATGCAAACCCTGTCTAGAAAGCAAAGTATCAAAGGGGGAAAAAAGTTGTGAAGCTTTTATTGTTAAGCTATAAACAGACAACTGTAAACAGATCTTGTTTACCACCATGCCATCCTCCTGGCTGAAGCAGATGTACGTGTAGAAAGTTGTCAGGGGCACAAAGCGTAGTCCCCTTTAGGTCCTGAGTTGAGTTTAAACCTAGTTTTGTGGAACAAGTGAGATCTACTCCAAACTTTTAAAGAATTTTAAAGGTACAACTACCAAAACTCTGTCTCACTGGGAATAAGCAGAGATGGATTTCAACCCAGGCAAAGGAAAGCTAAACCTTTAATCTGAATCTACAGGATATTCACAAATATCATCTGAGTCAGGGGAACAGGGACACATAGTAACACTAGCAGGAGAACTTGATATGGCCTCTTTTGCTATTAATAAAAACCTTCTTCACTGAGAAGGAAAAGGCATGATAAAGGAATGAAAGCCACACCTCAACAACATGAAGAGTAAAATTTGGATGTCTCTGTTTTCCAGAACAGGGAGCTAAAAGATACATGTGGTTAGTGCAGGAAATCCTGGAACTCCTAAAAAATCATTTCAAGTTCATAACAACTGACTGCCTCTACCATGGCAGGCTCAGTCTGGTTCACTAGTGTTCCCTTCCTGCTTCATATTAAGTAAAAGCTCAACTCAAAGCACAGCATCCTGCCTGGCCACAGAACTAAGAATGTAGCTCACCCTGTGGGTCTGTTCCTTGTCCAGGAACAGAAGGTCTAATACGTCTTGTTGTTATCCAAAAGTAACATATTGCTTTTATGTATATATATGAAGATGTTCTTAACCATGAAAAACAGCCTGCAAGGCACCTCATAAAATATGAAATATAAACACTGAAAGCAGTGCTGTCAAAAGAACCCAAACAAAAAGAATTCCAGGAATGGAATAAGCTATTTTCCAAAGCAACTTAGAAGTAGAATAACAATGGGGTCATGCCAATTTACATATTCATGAAACAAGTATGAGGGAGAACAAGACATAAGCACAACAACTCCAGGTATTTAGGTGGGTAAAATAATTCCTCAGTCTCACTGACAGGATTCATATATGTATCTTGAATGTAAATATATCCATGGACTAGTATTCAAAGACAGAGTATTGGGTTACCTAAGTACTTGGTTATCACTGCATCACTCCTGTTTTTCCTGACATCTGCGTTTTCCAGAGCATCCAGCACAGTCCCTGTGTGACTGCACATACATTATTTACAAAGAATGTGTGCATACAATATTACATTAAAAAGCTACATTAAGAGAAAACTATTGAAGCCACAGTCAAGCACATAAAGGTTAGAAAAAGCCACAACTAAGGATATGTCTGTAGCATTGATCTGCAAGCCCACCCACATACTGTCTTCAATTACACAAACAAACATTATTTTTCCCCACTGTATTTATCTAATGTGCACAGGAGGTAGAGCACTCAATAAGCAGCTACTCAGCACTGTACTTTTATATTGTTCAGTGTGTAGTCCATGGATTGGTGTACTGAAATCCTTGCTTGAAATATACCACTACTAATTTCTTCTTGAGTTTTACTTATTGTGCTTATCACAGTAACACCTAGGTGCTTCACAATCTTAATTTATTTTGTCAGTGACACAAGAAACCAGTGAGCATTCTACTCGTTTCCCATATGGGGAAGGGAAACCCAGAGATAAGCGTTAAAGAAGGAATTATAGATGCCACATTTGGGAGACCATGATTTCTCAGTTGCTGATACTGCTCTGATTGATTTTATTTGTGGACACAAGTATTCAGCACTTTCACAAAGCTGATCCTAGTATCCATAGTTTGGGCACTCAGAAAACGCAAAAACATGCAATTAGAGGCAATTTCTGAGCAGTCCAATTTGAATCACCAGACTAGCACTTTTCTTCCAGCAATGTTCTGCTTCAATTGTCACAAATTCCTGTAACCACAAAGAAGGCATCCTACAAATTGTCCTCTCCTTCACTACACTACAAGTTACATTTCCAGAGCAAAACACCCTGTACTTTAAGGAGGCTGATGAAAAGTAGAATGTGATCAAGTAATTTAAAATGTAGTATCTGAAAACAAATAGACAACAAAGGAATAAAAAAATGCAAATTTGTTTTTGTCTATTTCTAATTTTGGGGTACTTGCTGTTGCTACTCGCATTAGTATTTGATCTTCATATTTGCAGCTGATTGAAAGCAAACTTCATCACTTGGCATCTAAGTAACACATGCATGACACTGGTAGAACAGCGCGTGAGGGTTAGAACAGTTTTATCTACCACAGAAACCTCTGACACTTGCACTGACAGCTATGTGTCAGCAGCACTGCGTCATCAGCCTCTATGTAGACAACTACTTAAGGCAAATGGGCTCCACTGCCACCAAATATTTGTGTAACCAACTGGCAGAGGAATGTTTCTCTGCAGGAGAGAAAAGCTCTGGAAGGCTTGATTACACTCCAGGTACTAGTAGTCAGCAACTGCTGAATGCAGCTTGCTTTGACCCAATTTTTCACTCCCCACTCACCCCCAGATTCATCCTTCTAGATGTAACACCTATGCTTCCACTTCCTTTCTGTTCCATCTTCATTCTGTTCTCACGATAGTTCCAGTTAATTTCCAAAATACAGATTTCTCCTACTGTCAAGTCGTTTCTTTGCCTGCAATTTTGAATACCGCTCTAACCACCCAGGTTTGGAGGCCTTGCCTCCAAACTTGTCTTCCATTTGAAGCTTCTTGTTCAGTTTGCACCTCTTCCCAGGGAAGGTTCAACACACAACCCATGTTCCCACTGGTTTCCAGCTCCAAATTCCTTCTTGAGGGAAGCAATTTCCTACCTAGAAAGACTTTCGCTGCATTCACTTCCTGTTACCGTTGCTTGTTCCATCGTGTTTGCAAAGCATACTGCCTTCACACCAGATTTTTCCCCACAGACACCAGAAGCAAACCAATTTCACTCTTCTCATCCCCAATGCATCTGAACTGAGTGATTTACTCCATTCAGTATCAGTGAGAGGAGGTAGAGCCAACATGACAGAATATCCCCATTTTAAGCGGTGTGCTCAGACCAAACTGCAGCCCATCCCACAGCAGACAAGGCCACAACACCAGAAGTCCTTTGTTTGCATAATACAGGGGTAAGTTTCAAACAGTTTAGCTGTGATGCTTAAACAACCCTCTAAGATGCTTAACAGACTATTTTTTGAATGGGTAACAATTTGGGACAAATTTCTGTCTACTTTCACAGGTATAACACACAAATGCCACTTCAGCCAAATTGAGTTCCTGTTCCAAGCTAGTTCTTCCAAAACCATCCTTACAATTTAGGGAAAAATAGAAAAAAGTATTCTTTTTCCCTTGAAGTGCCCTCCTTCCATTGAATCACTTTGTAGAAAATTTCCAAAACTTCCTCAAAAAGACATTTAAGACTTAAGGGGCAGGGAGATATTAGTAAGGAAGGACAAATTATTAGCAATAGAAATCTGGTTTATAAGGGAAAGTTTTGGTCCATTGTAATGTTAAGACGGGTGATATGAGACCCATCTGCAGTATCAAAAAACACCTCATATAATGTTTCATCAGATACAGTATATTGCTTAAGAACAGAATCAGTACTAAAACCCAAGATTTCCTCACCCAAAGTAAGCAAAGTACCAGTTTTGTACCAGTGTCACCTGCCTGGCCAACAGATGAAATCATGCTTTTGTTTTGTTTCAGGTGTAAGAGAAAGCAAGCAATACACTCTTCTTACTAGAAAGCATAGAAGGCGGCCCTACAGATTAGGACGTCTCATCCATTTACCATCTTGAGTGTCTGAACTTACACTCTTAAATAAATCCTGACTTTCACAGGAAGAAAACATAATGTCAGCACATCAGCAATTTCAGCAGTTAGGTCACCCATTCAAATGTCATAGGAAATAATGAGCAAATTAAGTTAGAAACACTGGTCTCAGTACATAGAAGCAAGCAATCTAGTCATAGGCATAAATCGAGTCTTCTACTTACTATGGTGCCTTAGACAAATCTCTTAACTTTCCTATATATTGTTTCTGCATTGGTAAACATGGTAAACCATTGCACTCATACTATTATAAGAATAT